ATGTGTATTAAAATTCACTGGTATTTAAAAATGAATATACAAAATTACAATAATAGAGACAGAAGGATAGTGAAAGTACGGAAGTTCGAAAATATCAGACTTATTAAAAAAGCGATTGGACAGTTGGTAAGGTTCTCTCGTTAGAGAAACATATAGTTTATTGGATAATCATTTTCTCTTCTGATGCTGCGAGAAGAAAGTACCAAAGTTCTACAGAGACAATAGTGTGAGACAATGAAACAACACAAAATTAAATAAAAGAAGTAGGGTGTGAATGTGAATGGAGTAAAAAAGATTTACAAGCATAAACACATCCAAATCCTACTCGTTGGGAACAAATGAAACAGAATAGTCATCAATGTATCGTGCATCTAACAATCTTTTACATTTGGATGATGTAAATAAAGAAATTAAATTCGAAAAAGAATTTCAAATTTGCAGAAAATATTCGAATTGCTAAATAAAAATCTAAAATCCTGATTCATGAATATTCTCCATCTTTTTTAAAAGTCATCTTGTTTTATTTTCTTTTTTTTCGACAAAGATGAAGATACATATTGGATTTTTATTTTGAATAACTTCAAATAAGAACCAAAAAAAAGTGAAATATTATTATTAATACGAGATAACATTAATTAAACATTCAATCACCAATGTATTCTCAATGAAAATAAAAATGAAAGTAGATACATTTATATCATCATCAACCATTATATATTATTTCATTCTTGAATTAATGTTATTTATTTGAAATGATATGATATCCAGATGGATGATTTGTTTCATCTTCATCTTCATCTTCATTTTGTTGTTGATTCACATAATTGATAGAAGTCTCTATATCATCATTTTCTTCGATTGAAGCAATTCGTGATAGAATTGTATTAATATCACGTTTATATTTTAATCCATGATCTATGTTATATCCATATAATAAACCATTCGATAACAAGAGAATAAATATAAATATATAAGTATGCATCTTTATAAGAAAAATAATATTAAATAAAAGACAATATTCATTGAAGAAAAAAATCCATTTATATTTATTTTTATACAGATCATTGATTCACCAGCTGATGCTTTTCAAATAAATCAATGTTCGCATATGTACATTAAGCATCAATAAAAAAATATCATATGCGTATATATATTAATTTTTAATGTTAAAGAGCATAAAAGAAATTCAACTATCAAAGTATTCCTAAATGATTTCACGTAATGAATAAAATAGTAAAAATTTAGTTAAAGAAAAACATTCAGTTAATATAGTATTATTTGACTTTTTTCATTCGTATTAATTGAATAAAAGCTATAGATAAAAACATAATAATCATTATTGATAAAGCTAGAAGATTCTTCCATATATCCCAGCTATTTGTATAGGTAATATCACGTTGTTTTAATATTTCTTCACCTGTAATTGGACAAATCTGTGTATTATTTGATAAACAAAATGTTAAATTTCTAAATTCATTAATCGTTAATAAATTAGTTGCATATCGAAAGGCACTAAACCATTGAATCCATCGAAGAAATGAGAAAATACTATTCAAATCAATAAGAAAACCACTAAAAACCATCATTAAAACAAATATAAATACAACTATAATAAGTGAAACCACTAAAATACAAATATAAAAAATTTGATTTTCTAAATAAAACTCTTACCAAATATTGGAACA